GGCTTGTCGCTGCTGTCGACGGGCTTGGCGTCCGCTTCTTCGTCCTCTTCGTCCGTCTCGATGCGGTTCGGACGCTTTCGGATGGGCTTCTCCTCTTCTTCCTCCGACGGCTCGTCGTCTGAACTCCGGATGCGTTTCCTCAGCAGCTTTTTGGGGATTTTGGGCTTTTCGTCTTCGGAGTCGCCAGATAACTTGCTCGCTGTAAAGTAAAAAGGTGAAAGGCAAGTATTAGAGATGCTCTGGAATGACATTTTTAGACTGAAACTAAAAAAAATTTGTCAGGCCAAAGCCAAAAATTACTTTTACCCCCCAACCTTTTTTAGGAGCATATCAGGGGTGGTAGGGGTATAGATGGTTGAAAAGTGGCGGCTGTCCTGAAATGTATAAGGCTGGCCCATACACCTTACAACCATCGCAAGACTTACATCGTGCGATGGTTGTAAGGTAATTTAAAAAACGTACGATCTGCCCATCTTGGACAGACAGATCGTACTTGCGATCATCGCAAGCCCGCCCCGCTGAGGGGCGGGCTCCCGATGACCGCAATGCTGAGCGGGCAGTGTGTGCTTGCGCACACCGGTCCGTTCGGCATTTGTCTTACGAGCACGACACAAACACGCCGACAATCGTACGATTCTCGGTGGGTTTTCAAACATGCTCGTTCGACAAAAGACATGCGTCCGTACAGTAGATGCGCAAAACAAATGACAAACGCACTCAATTCATCATCAGCTATACAGTAAGGTGCACACGAAATGGGCTTTGAACAGTAGAACAGTAGAAAGGTATCATAGCACACTCACAACCAGCATGTAAAACAACTTGTCTCACCACTAAGGATAATAACAGAGGTTTGGATACACGTCTTCTGCAGAGGATGTGTAAGCCGCACTGCCGCGCCAAGGCACCTCTTATAGTGCGGTCCCAACTCTAAACTATCAGAGTCTCCATCTTGGAGCACATGGGGGCAGAAGATAAAATTGGGTGCAGGTTTGTCAGGACGACGCCCAATTTCCTTAAAAAAGGCACAGGAACACACAAGGGATCCCGCACATCCTAATGGCAGCTGAGAAACCCCATGCGTCGCTGCACCAAATCGGTCAAGCAAAACAAATGACAAACGCACTCAACAATTCGTCATCAGCTATACAGTAAGGTGCACAAGAAATGGGCTTTTCTGCAGAAGACGTGTATCCAAACCTCTGTTATTAACCTTAGTGGTGAGACAAGTTGTTTTACATGCTGGTTGTGAGTGTGCCATGATACCCGTTGTACAGTAGATGCGGTCGCACGCCTTCCATACACCTGCCGATTATTGTACGATCGCGGTGGTGTTCAGCTTACCGTTGCTTTCCGAGCTGGAGAATCTCCGTTTAAGTACTCGTCTCATCTCCTTCCCTCGCCCGTAGCGAGCTCTCTTCAGTGATCTGTCGCTCTCAGAATCTTCCCTGTAGTTGACTTGTCTCTTCTGATTTCTCCGTGATCGCCTCCTCCTGGTCTCCAGATAGTCATCGCTGTAAGCGCTACTGTTGTCAGTCTCTGTGGTGACAAAGGCAAGAGCGGTTGAACTACAGTCACAGCGGGAGATCACCTCAAATGTCTCCATCAATAACAGGTGATCAAAGTAAAGCCATGACAGGAAATTATTTAATGAGACTCTGCCACAAAATAAAAAAAACAACCCATACCATTAGCTTGTATTGTCTTGTGCTGCGGCTGACTGTTGGGCTTTTCTAAACCGGTCAAAGCTCTGACACTTCCAGGAAGTGTCGGAGCTTACTTGCCCCCCACCCTATTGGCCCATCATTATGATAGGCTGCCTCACTTACGAACACGAATGTGTGGGAGGACGAAATAAACAAATTGCCGCTCAAAAGTTTACATATCATGTCTGTGTCCAAGAAGAGCAAGTACAGGCAGGATGGAGATCGCACACGCTCCCCACTGAAGGTTGAATTACAAAGACCAGCCGACCTGGGGGACCCCATGCAAAAAACTTCACATGGACCGAGTCTTAAAGATCCTATGGATAAAAAGGCGGAATCACTGCTCAGACGGGCATGGGAAGCCGTGGGGGCCGGGTTCAAGCCAGCAGTGGCTGCTACTTGTATGGCCAGGACATTATGGGACCTGCTGTTAGGGAAAGGTCTGTCGGACAGGGTGGTCTTCACCCTCATATCAAGTAGGAAGCCTTCCACCGTAACAGACCCCTTATATTTCCCTTTTAAAATAGAAAAAGAGATTGAGGACACAAAGTCCTCAATTTCTTTTTCTGTATCCCCTGTTGTCAATAAACAGGAATCCTCTATACTGAGTGTTCCTGATCATTGATAATATGAGAACAGAGTATGGTTACTATAACCACAACTATGAATGAACAGGAAGTGATGTAGATCACTTCTCTTTCATTTATAATTGAGGATATAGTACACATGCCCTGTCCTCATTTATTTACGAACACTCAGCAATCACTGACTGCTTTCCTCTCTGACACGTTGTCACAGGAGGCTGAGCGAGCGGTGCGGGGAGGAGAGCTCAGCCTCCTGTGACAGCGCTGGCTGTCTCCGCCCCCACACCGCTCTGCCGGACTGTGATAGGCGGCTGAGCGGTGTGGGAGGAGAGACGCCAGCCGCTCACAGCGCTCTCCTCCCGCAGCGATTGGCCGGCTGCGACAGTTTCTCTCCTCCCCGCTGGGGCACAGAGCAGAGCCCAGCGGGGAGGAGAATAAGCAGGGATGCGCCGATGTATCGGCAGGAAAATGGCACTTTCGGCATTATGCCAAAAGTGCCATTTGCGGCCGATATATCGGTGCATCCTACCTATAATATATAAATAGCATGCATGACAATTTTGCACCCACGTGTCTGGGAGAGGTGAAGAACATGGAGGTCTTCTCATTAAGCCTCCCCTAACAAAGGATGGCAAAGCTTGTAAAAACATTCCAACGGGCTCTTAACTAAACCATTGCAAAATGATGTTCTCCAAAAACGTTCTAGAATACTGTGCCGATACCACAACAAAAGAAGTCTCACCTGACTCCTGGCCATCCTCATCAGAATCATCATCGTCGTCTTCTTCATCGTCTGAATACCTTCGTACGCGCTTTCTCAGCCGCGTGCTTTTCCTCACGGGCCGCTGGTAATGCCTCCGAGGCCGCCTTGCTCCAAAGTCACTGTCATTGGACTGCTGGTCTTCGCTTTCCTCGGCATTTTCATCAGAGACAACAAAATCTTCCTGGGAGCTGCGATTTCAGAGAGGATACGGTAAAGAACAAGCCAAGGGTCCACATAAGACAATCCGAGATACATACCGTATTTGCCGGCGTATAAGGCGACTGGGCGTATAAGACGACCCCCTAATTTTTATGTAAAATATAGGTTTTGGGCTATACTCGTCGTATAAGACGAGTATAGCCCAAAATAATGTTTAATTACACCCACTAACCTCCTTGGCGGTATTCCCGAGTGTGGCTCGGGGTTAATTTTCAGTACCATAAGCGGTAACCCCGAGCCACACTCGG